AAACTAATAACATTCTTCTAATAAAAATGTATACCACATTAGCCTCTTTATTGTTTAGACATGATATACCACCAAAACATCATCATGCATATGAACATATTAAGCAAGTTTAGAATAACTTTACCATGATTTGGCATCAGAAAAATTACATAGAAGCTTTGCAGTTTCCGTTTTTTCAACTGCTCACATTTAAATGCTGAGTGATGGTGCTCTTGGTTAATAATAGACTGCTTTGTTTGCTAAATAATTTGTAGTTTGTTTTACTTTGGAGCATTCTTCTGTAGAAAATGATGGACATTGTCAAAAAATAAGGAACTAGTTCAGAAAAATACACACTCAGATCACAATATTTTCTAATCATCACCATGAAAAATTTCACTTTATACAAAGCAATAATTATATTGGTAATGATTTTATTGAGCCACTTGGTATCTTTTGTTATTTTCTATGCAGTTTTTTCACGAGTACTTTATTGATTTTGTTCAGTTGGGTTGGAGTGCAAAACGATAACATCTTAGTATCTCTACTGAAACTTTGAAATTGTATGTTTAGGTGAGTAATTCTCAAGATGAAAAATTATGTCTGCCTAAAATAAAAAAGTTACTAAAATCAGAGTTATTTGCTGCCTCTTAGGTTATCAACAGACCAAAAGAGATTATATATATAATATATATGATACATAATATATATGTGTATTTTCTTTTATCTACTATATCTAGATATATATGTATTTCTTTTATCTACCTGATTCTTAGCAAAATTTCAATCAAGGGGGTTTTTTGGTGATGGAAACAAAATTTTTTTAATTGATTTTTTTTCTTTTAGCCCTTTATGGACAATAGTGTGTACTCAATATATGACTACATCAAAGACTGAAAGTCAGCCAGATTTCCACACTGAGAACCACATAGGATCACTTTACGCATTTTAACACTTGTTACTAATGATCTGTGGTGTAATAAATGTATGAAAAGCATTCCTAGGAAAACAGAGGATGTCTAAATCATGGTACTGTGATATTGTTTTCCCAATTAGGTTTTTTTTTCTCCAGTACTATTTAATGTAGTTTTGTCACTTTTAGCTAGTTAGGGATTAGAATGCAAATATTAAATAGTAATTGACAAGGTGATCTTTTACTGTAAAAATCATTGAATTAGGATATGAATTGCAAATATGGAAGTTCCCTTACACTTTACCAAGTAATGTAAAACTCAGAGTGAAACCTGAACAACCCGAAAGAATGTTATTAGTTTGTTAATAAAATTCTGTGCTTATGTATGGCAAGATTAACTCTGTCATATTGAGGGATGCCCAAACGCTCATCTCAGATCAACAGCATCAGTGTCTCCTGGGAACTTGTTAAAAAATTCTAATTGTTGGGGCCCAACCCAGACCTACCATCCCAAACTGAAGGCAGGGGCCACATCTCCAGCTGAACGTTTTAACCAGCGTTCCAGGCTATCTGATTCCCAGTACAGTCTGAGAACTACTGCAGCAGCCAAGGCCCTGGGGTCATACCCTACAAGGCATTCTTTCCAGAGATGATTCCTTAATCGGGTTTCAAGTGACCTCTGTTTCATCCTTGTGTACAAAATAAATTTACTCTGAACTTTGCTTTTACTGTATTAGCACCTGTTAATATCGAATGGTTAGGCCATTTAGTAAAGAAAAAAACAGAACTTTCTTTCATAAAAAAGATTTAGTAATATGTTTGAAAAGATTCAAATTCAGTAGGCTTGTATGTAATGCCTCCAACATCTGATGCCACAGATCAGGCAAGGGCATCGGTCTGCCAGCTCTGTCCAGTGCCCTGTGAGGGAGCTTGGCTGCCGTGCACGACAGACAAAAGTCATGCCCACAGCTACCCCGGGGCGTGGCAAGGGCAGAGCCTTGTAATTCAACCTCAGAATCACAGTAATAAGAGGACATGGATTTAGGTAGACTGTCAAATTCGGACTGTAATTTTAAATTGGACAAACGTTTAAGGGCACTTTCTTTTGGAAAATCTAAGTTTGTAATGTAAATGACAGCCCACCCGATAACAGTAGGCCATGGTTTAGTGGGTACATCTGCTCAGGCCTGTCATCCGCAAAGTACTGACTCACTGATGGAGAGAGGCCGTCCCCGTTGGTGGGGCAGCTATGATACTTTGAAAGCTTTAATGCCCCTTGTCTCCTTCCTCCTCCTCCTTTTTCCTGTTTTCCACTATAATTGTAACCTTCACTGTCACTTTCCAGATGGCTTGGATTTGGGGCTTCAGATTCCCGTCCTGGTTAATGGAAGCACGGCTGCAGCCATCACGCTCCACCATGAGTCAGTGCACACATGGCTGGTAAGGGCTGGGTGATGGAGACAAATGAGGAAGCAAGAATATCAGGACCTGAAGATGAACTGTTCCTTGTGGAGCAGATATTATTTCATATTGGTACCTGAGCTATATTAATAAAAATGACCAGAGATAATAGTTACAAGAGCTACATACTGTTACTTTTTTCGTTTGACTCACTTCAGGCGTCTGGACTCCAGAACTGTAAGATAATGTGCTGTTTTAAGTCAGTAATTTTTTTAAGTCCCATAATTTGTTACAACAGCAATATGAAACAAAAAATATTAGAAAGGTAAGAATCTAGTTTTCCAAATTTCTTCCCTGGATATTTACAATGAAAGAAAATAACAGGGAGTACTATAAAGCATAAAAGAATGTTTGATTCAGAGACTAAACATAAATGAAAGTTTCATTGAAGGAAAATTATATAGACACACAATTTCAGGACTAAAAATAGAAGATCATGATAAAACTTCACAGTGGCGTGGAGCAGTATTGCTGGAGAGAAATGAGAGAGCTTAAACACGGCAGATAAATGTATTTGTTTATTCAACAAATGCATACCGAGTGCTTACTACCCTATGCATCACTTTCAAGCCTCTTTCCTTATTTAAGAATCTCTGTGATGGTGCTCCTGTCTTGTGTTGGCCCTGAAAATTTCTAAGGTGTCTTTCAGCTGTAAAGTCCTAGATTAAACCACAAATGAGAAAACACAAGTAATTAACTCATTGATCTTCAAGAGCTTCAATTCCTAGCCCGGTGGAGGCAGGAAATTGCCTGCTATCCACATTGCTACCACTAGATGGCAAAGCTAGCCAGGGGACTGCAAATCTAGGTTTCTGCATTTAAATTGTTTACATTCACTGAGCTATGAAATACAATTTATTTTCAAAGCATGTAAGATCAACAGTAGAGAAGCCTAACTGGCTAATAATATATTAAATGGCTGTCACATATGGAATTTGTCACATTTAGAAAACCCACCCACAGGCCACAGAGCCCATCCTGATGAACTGACAGTTGATAATGCTGTCTACAGCCAGACAATTTTCTGGCAGGTAGTTTTCCAAAAACCATTTTAGTGCCAACACACTTCCACTATGACCTACAGCACTGCTAAAGAGTCCCCCAAATGTGCTGCAATTCATTTCAGCACAAAGAAAATCCTAAACCTGCCAAATGTTTCACATGTGTATGAAATATTTCATTATCTATTACCAAAGGATAAAGTCTCCACTGATTCCATGTTGAAAATAAATGGCAAGAAAGTTCATTGACAATGTGCCAATTCCTATTCAAAATAGCATACCTCAGCACTATTTTCAAGTTTAGTTTCAGGAATGGAGACAAAGTAATGTCTGCTTTAAAACTTTTGGCAGTGCTTAAGGGAAAGGAAGATGGTAAAGCCACACAGTTGATTATTTTACAGTAACCCACTTCTGTTTCTCGTCACAGTAAAAAATGAATCCCCCCTTTGTTTTTAGCTATTTTTCCAGGACAGGTATATTTCCATTTTCACAATGGATATCCTGTATGTAAACCAACTCTGGGGTGAATGGCACTAAGCAAGCCCCAAGGGGACTGTCCGCTGGCTCTTTCACACAGTCTTAGGAAGTGCAGAGCATACGGCTCCTGACTTATTTTTTATCTTGCAAGTTGGCCTTTGAAAGCAAAGAATATCTGTATATGTATTAGGTTTGCCACTCTTCAGCCTTTAAAGTATTTTATGATCAGAATGTTTTTAGCTAATCACATCAGTTTAACCTATTTGAAGCTTTTGAAACAACTTCAGTTAAACAAAGTTATAACACTTTTGTGCCACTGATCTGACTTGGGCTGTTCCCTAACCCTGCACCTCATATTTCTCATCTGCAAAGTTAACTGAGTGTTTAGGTGAGCCTCCAAAATTTTGATTTTGATCCTACTGTTAAAACACAATATGCTTGCCTTGGGTATTTGAGCACTGGGCTGAGAAAGATTTCCTCGGGGAAAATTAAGTCAACTTAGCAATTGTTTATTTTAACGTATAATGAGCACATACTATGTGCCAAGCACTAGGCTAAACATTCTCACATTTAAAAGCATGAAAAAGATTCTTAAAAGCAAACAGGTTTCCAATTTGTCTGGCAGAAGAGTGAGGCAAGTATCCACATTCAGGCTCTTCTCACACTAAAGGAGCTCCTCTAACATTTCCTAATAAAAATAAAATTCCCTGTGATGCTTGACCACTACTTTCAAGCCTAGACGTCTTATTTGGCTGGAGTTTTAACGTTCTCTGTTCTACATTATAAACCAGATTCTACGCATAATTCTCCAAACAGCAAAATATGACGTTCAGAGTCCTCTGTACAGACCAATGCACTTGGGATAAAAAAAGGGTTAACTTTAGAAGTGAGAAGGATTAATAAAAGGGAAGAACACTTAGGACATGCAGCTTATTTTCAAATCAACGACAGTGTAAAAAGATGAATCTAGCGGAAGTATTTCTACAGCTTCGAAACTTTTTATTATTGAAAATTTCCCAACTACACAAAAGTAGAGAGAAAAGTATAAAAACATAGGGGAAAAAATGTATAACCCCCATGTGCCCATCAACAGTGATCAATATTTTGCCAATCTTGTTTCATCTATCCCCTTTTTTTGCTAGAGTATCTTAAAGTNTGTTTCTGTCTCCTCATTTTTAAACTAAATTTATTTCACGAGAAAAGTGTTTCTCCCATTTTAAAATGATTAAAGCAGCAAAATCACTGATAGTTTTGTTTACAAAGCTTGCTGTTCCTTTTAATTCTTAAAAAAAACCCCAAAAACTAGCTTCTCAGATCCAAGAGAAAACACAATATAAACAGAGGGCATTGGGTGAATGGGTCTGAGTAGTACAAACTGGGTCGTAGACTACTCTCTCTGTAGTGTTCTTGCCTACCTCCATATACGCAGTTTCACATTAAAATGCAACTGGCAGCCTATTTGATTCTTCTTAGAGTAGGACCCTGAGAATAAGTCATTAAGAAATTAGGTATTATTTATAGTACCAGTCTGAAGTTTTAAGGAATGTCCAATTTTAAGAAGACAAAAAGAAATAAAAAATTTCCCACAAACGAAACTTATCACCATGTAAAGACTATATAATTGGCATTGAAGTGCCCATCTAGTTTCCCATCTGCACCCCAACGGTTTTTAAACGTATGAAAAGCTCCTCATTTTGAAAAAGTAAATGTGTAAGAAGGTCGAAATGCTACGGATGTGGTGCCAGCCCGGGCATAACCTACGCAGGGCTGTGGCCTCGGCCCCGGGCCGGCGCGGTCAGCCACGGGAGCAGCTGGCGTCGGGCCCGCGGGCCCAGCGGCAGAGCTGCGCGAACTTGAGCGGCGTGATGCGCACCGCCACGTTGTAGTCCCTGCGCGCGCCGCGCACGTCCACCCTCTGGTGGCCCGAGTAGACGGCGATGATCTTGCGCTGCCAGTTGTCGCCGCCGGGCTCGCGGAGGCGGAGGTAGACCCCGGAGCCGGTGGAGCCCGGCTCGGCGTCGCAGTGCTGGTACAGGAGGTCGCTGGACTCGTCGGATACGCTGCAGAACCGGTACACCAGCTGGTCCGCCCGGTCCCGATCGAAGCCCGAGAAATGGATCCGGCCCCCGGGCAGCTTCCCGAGGGCCGGACTCACCCCGAGGTCCATGAATCTCCTCCTGTGGGCGCGCTTCAGCTCCAGGAGGGCGTAGTCATAGTCCAGGGCAGCGGCCATAGCGCCGCCCGCGGTCCAGCCCCTGGGCAGGTGGGCGCGGCGGACCCGGGTCCACTGGAACGAGGGCATCCCCTCGGCGACCCCCCGGCCCCGGACCGGCCCCCGTCCTGCTCGCGCGGCCTCCGCGCTCGCCCCCGGCTCCCCTCCGGCGCCCTCGCCCCCGCCGCGGCCGCGCGCGCCCCGCCGGCCCCTCCCGGAGGCCCCGCGCCGCCTGCCCGCGCCTTTGCTCCTCCCCTTGAGCAGCCCCACCCGCAGCCTCCTGCTGCCCCGGAGGTAGCCCCTGCCGTCATGCACGCAGTGAGCGGCCGTGAGGACGTGCCTGGGGGAGACGAGGATGCCGCTGCAGCCCGTGGACAGCTTCACGGCCGTGCTGAAGGGGAAGCTGGTCAGGAACCTTCTGTCCGAGATGCTGAACCTGCTGTCTGTGCCGTATACCTGCCTCCTCCTCCTCCGAGCAGGCGCTCCTTGCGCCGTGGCATTTTGAGTTGGCTCAGGGACCAGACCTTCAACTTTCACTCTAGTCAAGGTGCGGGTGCCGTTCTCGAAGACAGTCTCGTAGGAAAGAGAGTCTTCCAGGTCAGCGAGGCTGGGAGCTGGAAGTTCTCTCTCGCATTCAATGCCACACGCTCCATTTAGCACCATCTTAGCCTCTGCCTCAAAGGTGGGGCTGGTGAGATGGAAGGTCCTTTCACTGACAAGCCGGGGTATTTTGCTCAAGTGCCACGAAAAGTCCTGTTCCATTTCCGATCCATCAGTGAGGGTCCACCCAAGGGTGAAAAATATCAACCAAAATAGCATGTTTTCCATTTTGTTCTTCTATTTTGCCCTTAAACATAGGAAAACAGAGAGAAGTGTTACAATGTTTTCTTTTTAAATCTGTTTCGTATCCATTTCACTTAGGCCTTGGGTCCCAGATGTATCCAGCACGACTAGGAGCCCTTATTTTCACTGTACTTAGATTTTACTGAGATTAGATTAACACCCTGCTAAGTAGGCTCATACAGACTTGCCAAATCTGAAAATTATTTTTCACCCAACCTTCCTTCCACCAGCCCTAACCCACCTTCCCCACCCACCTGTCATCAGCATCCTCTATCTCCCCAGATGCCCCAATGAGTGGAAGAGGAGGATGGGGGGCCAACTGAGGTCCTCTGGGGTCACACATTTCCTTCCGAGGTCTCCTACAACCTTACTTCCAGGCATTTCAGAACTAAAGACAGCAGCAGATGACCTGCGCTTTCCTGGCATTCAGCTTCTTAACATCTGGGATCATCTTTAGAGCATAAATGCTAGCACACAGCTCAAAAAATGTTCATTGGGATACAGTGAATTTCCCTGAACCGTGGTTTGCTGACCAAGCTCACTGATGGTGGAGGTGAAATCACCAGACAGTATTCTAAAAGCACTAGAAATTTTAGAAATAAATGAGTTGATCTGCTATTGATCTGCTTTTTTATAAGCAGAATTCCTTATCATAAAAAGAAAATATACAACACAGCCCATTTTATGTTAAATATTAAAACAGGTATGTTTATGTTTAAAAAAAAAGGTACCATAGATTTTTGTTAAAACAACCTTGTGCTTGAAACTATCATCTAAACAAAACAACATACAGAAATACTTCACAGTGAGATTTGACTGTATATTAAAATTAGCTCTAAGAATTTAAGATTATATATGGTTTTGATTTGCCACTTGGGGGAACATGATCACGATTAAATAAAGTCCCTTTCGTCATGGCTTTTATCATGTGAGAACAGTGCTTTTGTGTTAAATATTTTTAAAGTTGTCCCTACTCAATAAATAAAATACTTCTATTGTGTACTCTTCTTGCCTCTTGTTAGTCTAGACTTTCACTGGTATATAAATCTACTTCGTAGAACTGATGTTTGTCCGTTGTTGCCTTGTAGTGGGGGGCCAGGGGAGGAATGGCGGCACTCTTCACAGCAGCATTTTGAACCTCTGTGTCACAATTACTTGTGGGCTATGCTCCAAGCCATTTTTAACTATTAGTTAACGTATCAAGGCTTGGCAAATCATACGCATTTTATAGAGAGCAGAGACAACTTAAGGTTAGATTAGTTCTGAAATACCTTTACGCCCAATTTTTAATGATTAGCTTTTCTTGCATTGAAGACAAAGCTAATGAGGAATGTCAGCAATGGTCCACAACCCAGGGCACACCTGTAAGACTCCCTGTACTGGCATACAAAGCAAGCCCTGCCTCTGATGCAGAGGTGAATATGGGCATCTCAGTGACACAACAGAGTTCACTGCCACACACAAGCACAGAATTTTTTTAACAAACTAATAACATTCTTCTAATAAAAATGTATACCACATTAACCTCTTTATTGTTTAGACATGATATACCACCAAAACATCATCATGCATTTGAACATATTAAGCAAGTTTAGAATAACTTTACCATGATTTGGCATCAGAAAAATTACATAGAAGCTTTGCAGTTTCCGTTTTTTCAACTGCTCACATTTAAATGCTGAGTGATGGTGCTCTTGGTTAATAATAGACTGCTTTGTTTGCTAAATAATTTGTAGTTTGTTTTACTTTGGAGCATTCTTCTGTAGAAAATGATGGACATTGTCAAAAAATAAGGAACTAGTTCAGAAAAATACACACTCAGATCACAATATTTTCTAATCATCACCATGAAAAATTTCACTTTATACAAAGCAATAATTATATTGGTAATGATTTTATTGAGCCACTTGGTATCTTTTGTTATTTTCTATGCAGTTTTTTCACGAGTACTTTATTGATTTTGTTCAGTTGGGTTGGAGTGCAAAACGATAACATCTTAGTATCTCTACTGAAACTTTGAAATTGTATGTTTAGGTGAGTAATTCTCAAGATGAAAAATTATGTCTGCCTAAAATAAAAAAGTTACTAAAATCAGAGTTATTTGCTGCCTCTTAGGTTATCAACAGACCAAAAGAGATTATATATATAATATATATGATACATAATATATATGTGTATTTTCTTTTATCTACTATATCTAGATATATATGTATTTCTTTTATCTACCTGATTCTTAGCAAAATTTCAATCAAGGGGGTTTTTTGGTGATGGAAACAAAATTTTTTTAATTGATTTTTTTTCTTTTAGCCCTTTATGGACAATAGTGTGTACTCAATATATGACTACATCAAAGACTGAAAGTCAGCCAGATTTCCACACTGAGAACCACATAGGATCACTTTACGCATTTTAACACTTGTTACTAATGATCTGTGGTGTAATAAATGTATGAAAAGCATTCCTAGGAAAACAGAGGATGTCTAAATCATGGTACTGTGATATTGTTTTCCCAATTAGGTTTTTTTTTCTCCAGTACTATTTAATGTAGTTTTGTCACTTTTAGCTAGTTAGGGATTAGAATGCAAATATTAAATAGTAATTGACAAGGTGATCTTTTACTGTAAAAATCATTGAATTAGGATATGAATTGCAAATATGGAAGTTCCCTTACACTTTACCAAGTAATGTAAAACTCAGAGTGAAACCTGAACAACCCGAAAGAATGTTATTAGTTTGTTAATAAAATTCTGTGCTTATGTATGGCAAGATTAACTCTGTCATATTGAGGGATGCCCAAACGCTCATCTCAGATCAACAGCATCAGTGTCTCCTGGGAACTTGTTAAAAAATTCTAATTGTTGGGGCCCAACCCAGACCTACCATCCCAAACTGAAGGCAGGGGCCACATCTCCAGCTGAACGTTTTAACCAGCGTTCCAGGCTATCTGATTCCCAGTACAGTCTGAGAACTACTGCAGCAGCCAAGGCCCTGGGGTCATACCCTACAAGGCATTCTTTCCAGAGATGATTCCTTAATCGGGTTTCAAGTGACCTCTGTTTCATCCTTGTGTACAAAATAAATTTACTCTGAACTTTGCTTTTACTGTATTAGCACCTGTTAATATCGAATGGTTAGGCCATTTAGTAAAGAAAAAAACAGAACTTTCTTTCATAAAAAAGATTTAGTAATATGTTTGAAAAGATTCAAATTCAGTAGGCTTGTATGTAATGCCTCCAACATCTGATGCCACAGATCAGGCAAGGGCATCGGTCTGCCAGCTCTGTCCAGTGCCCTGTGAGGGAGCTTGGCTGCCGTGCACGACAGACAAAAGTCATGCCCACAGCTACCCCGGGGCGTGGCAAGGGCAGAGCCTTGTAATTCAACCTCAGAATCACAGTAATAAGAGGACATGGATTTAGGTAGACTGTCAAATTCGGACTGTAATTTTAAATTGGACAAACGTTTAAGGGCACTTTCTTTTGGAAAATCTAAGTTTGTAATGTAAATGACAGCCCACCCGATAACAGTAGGCCATGGTTTAGTGGGTACATCTGCTCAGGCCTGTCATCCGCAAAGTACTGACTCACTGATGGAGAGAGGCCGTCCCCGTTGGTGGGGCAGCTATGATACTTTGAAAGCTTTAATGCCCCTTGTCTCCTTCCTCCTCCTCCTTTTTCCTGTTTTCCACTATAATTGTAACCTTCACTGTCACTTTCCAGATGGCTTGGATTTGGGGCTTCAGATTCCCGTCCTGGTTAATGGAAGCACGGCTGCAGCCATCACGCTCCACCATGAGTCAGTGCACACATGGCTGGTATGGGCTGGGTGATGGAGACAAATGAGGAAGCAAGAATATCAGGACCTGAAGATGAACTGTTCCTTGTGGAGCAGATATTATTTCATATTGGTACCTGAGCTATATTAATAAAAATGACCAGAGATAATAGTTACAAGAGCTACATACTGTTACTTTTTTCGTTTGACTCACTTCAGGCGTCTGGACTCCAGAACTGTAAGATAATGTGCTGTTTTAAGTCAGTAATTTTTTTAAGTCCCATAATTTGTTACAACAGCAATATGAAACAAAAAATATTAGAAAGGTAAGAATCTAGTTTTCCAAATTTCTTCCCTGGATATTTACAATGAAAGAAAATAACAGGGAGTACTATAAAGCATAAAAGAATGTTTGATTCAGAGACTAAACATAAATGAAAGTTTCATTGAAGGAAAATTATATAGACACACAATTTCAGGACTAAAAATAGAAGATCATGATAAAACTTCACAGTGGCGTGGAGCAGTATTGCTGGAGAGAAATGAGAGAGCTTAAACACGGCAGATAAATGTATTTGTTTATTCAACAAATGCATACCGAGTGCTTACTACCCTATGCATCACTTTCAAGCCTCTTTCCTTATTTAAGAATCTCTGTGATGGTGCTCCTGTCTTGTGTTGGCCCTGAAAATTTCTAAGGTGTCTTTCAGCTGTAAAGTCCTAGATTAAACCACAAATGAGAAAACACAAGTAATTAACTCATTGATCTTCAAGAGCTTCAATTCCTAGCCCGGTGGAGGCAGGAAATTGCCTGCTATCCACATTGCTACCACTAGATGGCAAAGCTAGCCAGGGGACTGCAAATCTAGGTTTCTGCATTTAAATTGTTTACATTCACTGAGCTATGAAATACAATTTATTTTCAAAGCATGTAAGATCAACAGTAGAGAAGCCTAACTGGCTAATAATATATTAAATGGCTGTCACATATGGAATTTGTCACATTTAGAAAACCCACCCACAGGCCACAGAGCCCATCCTGATGAACTGACAGTTGATAATGCTGTCTACAGCCAGACAATTTTCTGGCAGGTAGTTTTCCAAAAACCATTTTAGTGCCAACACACTTCCACTATGACCTACAGCACTGCTAAAGAGTCCCCCAAATGTGCTGCAATTCATTTCAGCACAAAGAAAATCCTAAACCTGCCAAATGTTTCACATGTGTATGAAATATTTCATTATCTATTACCAAAGGATAAAGTCTCCACTGATTCCATGTTGAAAATAAATGGCAAGAAAGTTCATTGACAATGTGCCAATTCCTATTCAAAATAGCATACCTCAGCACTATTTTCAAGTTTAGTTTCAGGAATGGAGACAAAGTAATGTCTGCTTTAAAACTTTTGGCAGTGCTTAAGGGAAAGGAAGATGGTAAAGCCACACAGTTGATTATTTTACAGTAACCCACTTCTGTTTCTCGTCACAGTAAAAAATGAATCCCCCCTTTGTTTTTAGCTATTTTTCCAGGACAGGTATATTTCCATTTTCACAATGGATATCCTGTATGTAAACCAACTCTGGGGTGAATGGCACTAAGCAAGCCCCAAGGGGACTGTCCGCTGGCTCTTTCACACAGTCTTAGGAAGTGCAGAGCATACGGCTCCTGACTTATTTTTTATCTTGCAAGTTGGCCTTTGAAAGCAAAGAATATCTGTATATGTATTAGGTTTGCCACTCTTCAGCCTTTAAAGTATTTTATGATCAGAATGTTTTTAGCTAATCACATCAGTTTAACCTATTTGAAGCTTTTGAAACAACTTCAGTTAAACAAAGTTATAACACTTTTGTGCCACTGATCTGACTTGGGCTGTTCCCTAACCCTGCACCTCATATTTCTCATCTGCAAAGTTAACTGAGTGTTTAGGTGAGCCTCCAAAATTTTGATTTTGATCCTACTGTTAAAACACAATATGCTTGCCTTGGGTATTTGAGCACTGGGCTGAGAAAGATTTCCTCGGGGAAAATTAAGTCAACTTAGCAATTGTTTATTTTAACGTATAATGAGCACATACTATGTGCCAAGCACTAGGCTAAACATTCTCACATTTAAAAGCATGAAAAAGATTCTTAAAAGCAAACAGGTTTCCAATTTGTCTGGCAGAAGAGTGAGGCAAGTATCCACATTCAGGCTCTTCTCACACTAAAGGAGCTCCTCTAACATTTCCTAATAAAA